AAGTGTGGGTATACAGGTGTCTGTTGTATACTTTGATTCTTGTTTTTGTTTGTCTTGTTTTTTGAAACAGGGTTTCTCTGTGGCTTTGGAACCTGTCCTGGGACTAGCCCTATAGATCAGGCTGGACTGGAATTCACAGAGATCTGCCTGCCTCTGCCTCCTGAGTGCTGGGATTAGAGGCTTACTCCACCACTGCCGGGCTCTGCCTTTGATTCTTTCCGGTGCACACCTACGCACGGCACAGCTTGACTGTGTGGTGGTTTAAGTTTGATGTTTTGAGGAGCCTCCATGCCTGTTCTTACGGTGGCTGGACTAAGTCACAATCCTCAGCAGTGTAGAAGCACTTATTGCCACAAACATGTTCTTTCCCCTTTTCTGTTTGTTTTTGAGACAGGGCTCACCATGTAGCTGGGTCTTGAACTCACAGCGAGCCCTTGTCTCTGCCTCTGCCTTCTAAGTGTTGCCTTTTTCTTTCTTTAAAAAAACCTATCAATTTTTGTTTTATGTGTATGTCTGTGTACCACTTGTATGCCTGGTTCCCAAGGAGGCCAGAAGGCATCAGATCCCCTGGAACTAGTGTAACAGAAGACTCTGAGCTGCTTCATGTGTGTTGGGAACCAAACCCTGGTCCTCTGCAAGAGCAGGAAGTGCTGTTAGCTGCTGATCCCATCTCTCCAGCCCTTCCTATGGTTTTCTTGATAGTCAGACTGAGGTGAGTTGGACTCAATGTAGCTAGAACTTTATTTTTATCATATTTTATTTAATAATTGCTATTATTTATGTGTGGATGTGCACTCCCACCACAGCACATGTGTGGAGGCCAGAGGACAGTTTCGTGGAGTTGGTTCTGTCTTCCACCACCTGGGGCCTGAGGTTGAACTCAGGTCATCAGGAGTGGCAGTGGGAGCCTTTACTCCCCCGAGCCATCTTGATTGCCCTCAATGTAGTCCTGGTTATCATTTCCCTGAGGGTTAAAAATATTGAACTTAAACAAAAACTTAGAAGTTAGCACTTGAAGGGCACAGGCTTCCCCGCGGCATATTCTAGCATGCTTAGCCTTGGTTCACTAACACCTTTCTTCCCCCATCCAGGTTTATACCATCCCTTTCTTCCCCCTTCCCATTTTACATTCCATGTGTTCCGTTAACCCCTTCTCCTCCTGCTTCCTGAGCTTTACCCAAGTGCCCCCTGGTTTCATGCACTTCTTCTTTTGAATAATGTCTTTTCAGGGCTGCTGGTGGCGGCGGTGCTATTCTGGCAGGTGGAAGGCCCAGCACGATTCCCAGCACCACAAACAAGTGTCTGAAGTTCTGAGATTGTTGCATGTTCTGGGTATTGCTCTCCTGTCAGGTGGACAGCTGGTCAAGCATTCTCTCCCACTCTGTCTGTCTCTCTTGTTTCGTTTCTTTGATTCTTCAGAAGTTTTTTAACCTACTGCAACCCCACTTTTCAGTTCTTACTCTCCACCCCCACCCACCTCTCCGTGTTGCTGGAGATGGAGATCTTGCAGTATCTCCTGTACCTGTGTTTCCAGCTCTTACATCGAAGTCTTTGATCCATTCTACGTTGGTTTTTTTTTTTGGTAAAGGGTGACAGGTACGGAAATATGAGTGGGGGAGGGGCACTCTTAGGAAAGCTTTGTAGGTTTCTTTGAAACATCTAGACAGCTCTCCAGTCTGTCCTGTTCTCTGTGCCTTGCACAGTGGGAAGGCCTCCTGGAGGTCACACAGGCTTCATGGATTCCCAGGAGGGAATGTGGAGTAGTCAGGGGTTGGGGGATGGAGACCGTTCTTATTCTAGTGAGCTAGGGGCCAGTGTTGGTGGGAGTCTGGTGCCATCTGGTGGCCCTAGAGAAAACTGGGTCATTCCTGGGACTTGTATGAGCCACTGAGTGTTCCCTGGGTGCTTCCTGAATGCTATGGCTGCCCCCATGCAGGACGTGCATCTTCTTACTCTATTCTGAAGATAACCCCATGTGGCAGGTGTGACCATCACAACCCTGAAAATAAGAGCCCAAGTCTAGAAACTGTCACTAACATGACAGGGTCTCACCCTTGGACAAAGTGGACTTTGACTTGTGAGCAAGTCTTCAAACACTTGCTAACATTTATTCTCCCACTATTCTGCTTTTAATATGTACGAATGTGTAAAACACTAATGAGGCTGAAAATTCAAAAGACAAAGAGGAACACTTCCCATTGTCACTCCATGGCTGACACAGTTAGGGTTGCCTGGGAAGAGGGGACCTTGATTGAGAAAGTGTCCCTACCAGACAGGCCTTGAGCAAGCCTGTGGTGCATTTTCTTTATTGACGATTGATGTGGGAGGGCCCAGCTCACTGTGGGAGGGGTCACTCCTGGGCAGGTGATCCCTGGTTATATAAGAAACCAGGCAGAGCAAGCCAGTAAGCAGTGTTCCTTCATAGCTTTTGCTATGGTTTTGCCTTGAGTTCGTGCGTTGGCTTCCCTCAAAAGTGGAAATGTAATGGAGACTTGTAAGGCAAATAACACTTTCCTCTTGGAGTTGCTTTTGGCCATGGCATTTATCTCAGCAGTAGAAAGTTGTGCTATGGGTGTGTACATATTCCTGCATCACATTTCCCCAAAGAGCAGTTCTCTAAATGTGCTTTCCTGAAATTCCCTTATTACACTTAAAGTGTGTACAACTGTTCAGTAACCTATTTCGTGGCTGTGCAGTGCCTGTCTGGTGAGTGCACATTACTACTTAATTACGCTCACATTGCTGCTTAAGCTCATTGGAAGTTGACTCTGGAAGTGAGGAGGCCCCTTTCCCTTCTGCCCCAAAATTCCTGCCCTAGATCAGGCTGGCCTTTGTGGTGATATATTGTTTATGATTTAATAAAGCTTGCCTGGAGATCAGAATGCAAAGCCAGCCAACTAGTCATACAAGCTGGACAGTGGTGGTGCACATCTTTAATCCCCGGACTCAGGAGACAAAGGCAGATGAATCTCTCTGTGTCAAGACCACCCAGGGCTACACAAGAGTGAATCAGTCTAAAAGAGAAACAGAGCTCAACCCTTTAATCCCAGCACTAGAGAGGTATATAGGGAAGAAGCAAAGGGCCTCATGTGAGACTCGGTTTCCAGTCACAGGAAAGGCAGGATCTCCAGTTCAGTCTTGGTAGAGGGAAGAGCTATTGGATGGCTGCTTTGCTTTTCTGATCTTCAGTTTTGAACCCCAATATCTGTCTCTGGGTTTTTATTATCTATGTTACCGGCCTCCCAATTGCCACAGGGAGAAAAGAAAACAATAAACAGCTAAGGGCATTAGAGACACAGTATCCTTGAGACACAGTATAGCAATGCCTGTGGTGGACTTGGGACGTTGGAAGCTCTCACAGGGAGAGGAAGAATCCTCCATCCTGGGCTCTTTTGGTCTGGACTTCAGATGACTGTCTCAGCTTCCTCAGTTTCTGTTGGGCGATTGTTAAGCTTCTGATTGATGATGTCATTTCTATCTGTTGCTCTTTGATGTTTACTTTCTCCAGTTAGGACTGCATATTTACTCAGTTAGGACTCTTCCCCACCTATGGGAACACAGATGGCTGCCTCCATGCACTTCCCCAGGTGATTTTCCTTGGGAATCCATTTGGCACGGTCCCTTTGCTCCCTCTCAGTTGGCAATGGTAGTCCTCTCTGCTGGATGTTCTGAACACCCAATGGATGGTGTTTAATATTGCCTCCAATTTCTCTCTGCTACTGGCTATTTATTCTATTTATTTTGCTTTCTATATACTTAATAAACTCACCCATTTTGAAATGAGAAGTTCAGCTATTGTGGAGTATTCTCTGAAGAAGAAGTGGGTGGCTGGGTGATGTTATTACAAATATTCGCCATCGTCCAGTGACTTGTTTAGGTGCTTAAATGCATGTATACAAACATGTCAACAGGATAAAATTCCTCAGTTGAGAAAATGCCCCCATCAGATTGGCCTGGGCAAATCAGTAGGACATTTTGTTTTTACTTGATGATTGATGTGGAAAGGCCAGCCCACTGTGGGTGGGGCCATCCCTAAGTAGGTGGCCCTGGGTTCTATAAGATAGCAGCCTGAGCAAGTCATGGGGAGCAAGCCAGTAAGCAGCACCCTGCAAGCCAGTAAGCAGCACCCTGCATGGCCTCTGCATCAGCTCTTGCACCCAGGTTCCTCCCTGAGTTCCTGCCCCAACTTCCCTCAGTGATGAATTGTAAGCCAGGGGGTGAAATAAGCCCTTTCCTCTGCAAGTAGCTTTGGCTGTAGTGTTCATCACAGCAACAGAAAGCTGTCTGAGGTGGCAGAGGTGGGTTAATTTTCATATCTTTTCCCATGAAATTTTCAGCACAGTATTATAGCCATTAAAATATCTGTCAATCATGATCATCATTGTCATGATGATGATGATGAGACTGGGGTTTGTAGCCAGCCAGTGTGTTCTATAGAATCTCGTCCCTCCATTTTGTTGACCTACCCCATGCTTCCTTATATTTTGTTCTTATGAATATATTTGCATGATGTTATTCTTTTGAGAATTCTGTCTGTCTGTCCTTCTGTCTTGATTTCCTCCTCCCTCTTCCCCTTGACTGGCATACAAGACATGGTACAATCTGTCTTCTGTCTTGTGATAAGTCCACTGTTGGCTCCCTTCAAGCCATGTCCACAAAGCCGTCTACATCTTCTTTGTTCTACATCTTCTGCTGTCCATGTCAGCCACCCCATAGGAAGGGACACTTCTTGGTCAGAATAGTTCAGGGACCTACAAATGGGGATGCACAATAAACAATCTGCTTTGTCCTAGGACTTCATGCTCTGTAGACATTTTGCCCTCCTGACTTAAACCACTGACACTGACCCTCCAGGTAACTGGTTCTTGGCTCTCATAATGCAACTTTATCAAAGTGTTCTGCCTAGCAACAAATGATGCATAAGTCTTCAGTCTTGATTGGTTAATAGACAGTTCCAGTCTCAGGGAGGCTGGAGAGTTATCTATACTTTGTGATTTTTTTTTTCAGTTGTGTGGAAGATAGTTCCATTTAAAGGGCTTACCACCCTCTTTACTGTCATTGTCCCCTCAAGAATGGGTGCTGGGAGGGCCCCCTGGGTGGTGGCTCTCCTAGTGAACCTCATGAGGCCAGATTCCTTCATGTCTGAAGGCAGAGACTCCCCAGGTAAGAACAGCAATTTGTTTCTGGGTGTCTTTGCTGCAATTGGTGCGGGGTTACTCTGCTTTACAGCTCAAAGTCTCAGAATAGAGTGGCTCTGACTTAAAGAGCAATTGTCCTTCCACTGACCAAGAAGCCCTCGGGCCTTCTTCATCACCTACAATGAGCTGCCTGGAAAGGACTTCCCGTACCTGAGACATGGATGCCAGGGAAAGGAGGAAGGAAGAAAGAGATGTTTTCCCTTGTTGGGCTCCTTATGTATCGGTATCAGATTCTAGAACCGTGAAAGCCAGCGTCTGAGAGCGCTGACTCTCCTAAGTGACAGTCCATGCCTATGACGACTCTGTTTAATCTCATGAATTGGAGATGACCTCTCCTGTCACCTACTAAGTGTTCAGCATTGTACTGAGCAGTTTTGCGGTGTAAGGGAAGAAGCCAGACAAGTTGAATATGTTAATTATCTTTGGCCTCAGGTTATTGTGTGTAACTTACTTTTTACTTTTTAGCCAGGGAGATGGACTATGTAAACACGGGCACTGTTAGACCACGAAAATGTGGGGCTGTGAGCAGAAAACAGGATGTGATAATGCTAAGAAAAGATTCCCCTTTAATGTCTGGGTCGCATCAAATACGGAAGAGGAACAAGCCTTAGCGAGGGAACATAATTTTCTTTGAAAACAAAAAGATGCTCTGAGTTCATCGTGTCCATTTGACAAATTAAAAAAAAAAAATCAGCATGGGGTTTCCTTCCTTCCTTCCTTCCTTCCTTCCTTTCTTTCCTTCTTCCTTCCTTTTTCTTTTTCTTCTTCTTTTTGCTTGTTTGTTTTTTGAGGCAGGGTTTCTCTGTGTAGTCCTGGCTATCCTGGAACTCGGTCTGTAGATCACAGAGTTTGGCCTGCCTCTTTCTCTCGAGTTCTGGGATTAAAGGCCAGGCTTCAGCACAGATTTTAAAATGATGAAAAATCCACATATCTTTTGCTTCTTTAGCTTGTAAGAGGGAACAGAAAAGGGTAGAAATGCTGAGGGACTGGAGGATGGTACATCATCTCAATGCAGTGGCCAAGACAAGGGAGCCTGGATGTCCATTGAGGTCACTCTTGGCGGAGGCTGGGCATTCTTGGAGGATGCTGCTGAGCTTAGGCATGAGCAGACCCAAGGCTCAAGCACAACAGCCTTTATCCTTCAAGTGGCAGCTTGGAGCTTTTCATGCAGCTCTTCTGTGATCTACCTGCTGTGTCTCGATCTCAAGAGTGCAGAACTGAGCGCAGAACTCAAGAGCGCCATCACTGCAGAAAGCCTTTCTCTTCCTGTCCCACCTCCTCCCTCTCCTTTCCTCTCCACGGATACCGTCCCAAGTGTGCTTTCAGCATGAGTGCAGTGTTCAGAAATGTGAAATGAGTCGTCAGATGGCTCAGTGGGTAAAGCCATGTGCTGCCAAACCTGACAACTTGAGTCCAATCCCCAGGACCCACATGTTGGACAGGGGAGGGTTTACTTCTGGAAATTGTTTTCCCTGTAGGTTTCAAATTTTTAATAAATGACGCTGAGCATTGATGACATCAACCATATACTTTTGGGCATGTTGTAGTCAAAATGACTCTCAAATCTGCACCCTCTACCTTGGTGTACTGGGCACAGGCTTTTCTAGAGTTGCATTGGCATACCCAGGCACAGGCTTTTCCAGTGCTGCATTGTGTACCAGGCACAGGCTTTCCCAGAGCTGCAGCTGGTTCCTAACCCTTTTGTGGTTCCCAGAGGATTTTGTGATCCAGGCAAAGGCGGACTGTTACTTCACCAACGGGACAGAAAAGGTGCGCTTCGTGGTCAGGTTCATCTTCAACCTGGAGGAGTACTTACATTTTGACAGTGACTTGGGGGTGTTTGTGGCGCTGACGGAGCTAGGGGAGCCTGATGCTGAGCAGTGGAACAGACGTTGGGACCTCCTGGAGCAGAGCCGAGCCTCTGTGAACATGGTCTGTAGGCAGAACTACAAGCTGGGGGCCCCCTTCACCGTGGAGAGAGAGGGTGAGTGAGGGCAGGGCCTAGTGGTGTTCTCCACAAGAACCTTGTGACTGGCACTTAAAAATGTTTTAAATTACCTCCCCCACCCACGTGTGTGTGTGTGTGTGTGTGTGTGTGTGTGTGTGTGTGTGTGTGTGTGTTCCATGCATGCCACCGTGAACACACAGAGGACGGGGGCAACTTGAGGCAGTTGGTTCTCTCCCCATCATGTGGGTCCTAGGGATGGAACTCAGGTCCTCTGTCTTGGTGGCTGGCACCTTTATTTGTTGAGCTACCTTGCTGGCTTTTTTGTGACAGGAAATTTATTCTCCAGGGTAAGAGGGTGACAGGTAAGGGGGGGGGCTGAGACTATGCTCTGTCCCCAGTTGTGAATCATAGTCCTTGCAGGATAGGACATCGTGGTCTTAGTTCTGCAACCCCAGTGTTCTCGGGGACTTTGAGGACTGGTATACTCTTAAATTTAATGGGTGACTGTGGGGGACACAGGCATCTAATCCTCCTTGTGGGCACCCATACATGCTTCTCAGGCTAGGGGTCTTAGGGGTCTCTACATTTGCAGCTTCTACTTGGCTGGTCTGGGAAATGGGTCACAGTACCTCTAGATGCTCCAGTCCTTGTGTGATCCTTCTTCTCTCTTGCTAGTACCACCGGAGGTGACAGTGTTCCCAGAGAGGACTCCGCTGCTGCAGCAACACAACCTGCTGCTCTGCTCTGTGACAGGCTTCTACCCCGGGGACATAAAAGTTAGGTGGTTTCGGAATGGACAGGAGGAGAGGTCTGGCATCATGTCCACTGGACTTGTTAGGAATGGAGACTGGACCTTCCAGATGACAGTAATGCTGGAAATGATACCACAGTTTGGAGACATCTACAGCTGCCTCGTGGAACACCCCAGCCTCCAGAGCCCTGTTTCTGTGGAGTGGAGTAAGCTTTGTTTATTTTTTTAGTTACTTAGTTAGTTTGTTTGTTTTATTCCTGGGCTTGACCTGTGGAATTTGTGTCACTTCTGTGTTCATCTTGATTACAAGACAATGTCCCCTGATCTGAGAATTTTAGGGCTAGGGTGGGAGAGAACAGGACAGGCAGCCATCCTCAGAGCATGTAAGGAGGCCTCCAACCCTAGGATCTAGCATTCTTTAGTATTTTAGTCTTTAGGGACACTGCCATGGGCTCTAAGTCAGGGACAGGGCTGGAGGTGTGGCGCAGTTGGTAAAGTGCTTGTCATGCAAGCATGAGGGTCTGAAATTGATCCCCAGAAGCTCTAATGCCTGCTTGTAGTCCCAGGGCCAGCGAGGTGAGGACAGGCAGTCCCTGGGCTCACAGGCCACCCAGCCTAGCTAACTTAGTAAGCTCCAGGCCAGAGAAGAACCTGATGCAAAAACAACAGCAAAGGTGAATGGTATTTGAGGAATGCCACCTGAAGTCGGCCTCTGTTCTATGCATACATCACACACATGCTCATGAGTGCGCACACACACACACACACACACACACACACACACACCAGTGACAGGTGGGAGGCAACTCCATTTCTAGATTTAACTCTTTCCTGAGCAGCATTGGATAGAGTCCAAGATAGAATTTGGGGTTTTAAGAAGTTGTGTCCAGCCTAGTGGTGGTGGTGCACACCTTTAACCCCAGCACTCAGGAGGCAGAGGCAGGAGGATCTCTGAGTTTGAGGGCAGCCTGTCCACGGAGTGAGCTCCAGGACAGCCAGGGTTACACAGGAAAAACAACAACAACAACAACAAAAAACCAACCAACCAAACAAACAAACAAAAAAAAAACAGAGCAAAACAAAAAATAAATAAAGAAGTTGCATCCGGTATTGGGATCATTCCATTGAGTTTAAATCTTGTTTCCCACAGTGGCTCAGCCTGAATATCCATGGAAAAAGATACTGATTGGAGGTGCAGCACTCCTGCTTGGGCTAATTGTCTTCCTGGTGGGTGTTGTTATCTACTTCAAGGCTCGGAAAGGTAACATACCACCGAGGAGAGCCTTCCCATCTGCCCTGTGTCTTCTCCACCCCCAGCTTCCTTCACTGTAAAGATCTGAGGGAGGGAAGGTGGGCTGTGCTCAGGTTATCACTGTGATAGTGTTCTTAAAGCCAGGGGAGTCCAGGGGTCAGCACAGGGGAGTGCTGGCATTGCAGGCCACCTCCCCACACCCAGGAAAATCACATTTGATCCTGACTGGGGATCCCATTCTCTCTTTTCAGCATCTGTGGAGACCCAGTCAGACCATGAGGTAAGTTTTCCCATTCCTTGTCTTTGGCTGGCCGATCATTGTCTAGTTTTTTTTGGCCAGAACAAGTAGGGGAGACAGGGGTGCCTGTCTGAGCCATTGTCTCTGAGTCTCTGGAATGGGAGAGTAGAAAGCCTTCTGAGATCCTCCCATTGTTTCTGCAGGTCTCAAGAGCTTATCCACCTCATTCCCAGTAAGATCCTAATGGAAGCTTCCCCTATAGAGCCTGAAGAAGTATTAAAAGCCTGAGGCCCTAGGTTGGGTAAAGAAGACTGGCTCTAGAGTCATGGGATGTAGTCATGCATCTTCCCATTAGGTCCTTCTCCCTCCTGTCTGTACTTCAGTAGTCTCCATTTCCAGGACACTGTCCAGAAATTCCCTTAGACCCAATTCACTCTAGTCCCAAGAGTTTTTGGTCTGTGTGGTCTGACCCTAACCCTGTGAGTGGGGAATCCCCAGTCTTTCTGTCTTCCAACCATAGCTTACAGTCTTCTAGAGAGTTACTTTAAAATCCCTTGTATTGTAAAATAAAACAGGAACAGATAATTGTAGTGGATGTATAATTCAATGACTTGTTTAAGGCAAAAACCTTGTAATCACCAGCTCAACAAGACACAGACCTTGGAAGCCTCTGTTGAAGTCATCATGATGTGCCTTGGCCAATAAACACCTGCAGGCACACACTATACACATGGGTTTTTGTAAACAGCCTCTTAGCCAAGTGTACATTTCTGAGTACCACACTCCAGTCTTTGTTGTCTCTTAGCCTTCCAGATGTTTTACTTGATCCCTTCTTTCTGTTAAGATTAAATTTGGTGAGAAGCCTGAGTTGCCTATGGTGAAGAGTTTCTCACACTTGGATTTTGTTGCCTGCACACACATTCTTTTGCCCTTTATAGTTTCTGTAAGTTAGCACCTGATGCAGAGGTGAGGGTCAGGTTGTTTTCATTCTTTTGGTGTCTATAGGAGGCCATGTCTTTATCTGTAGTCACATTTAATCTCCCCATTTCTCTTCTCATGATGTTACAATAACCATTGATGCTAATTGTTCAGATCTGGTAATTTAAAAGGGATTGCTACATTGTGACAGTCCAATTCTAGGATTCTTTCTTCATTTATTATGTATTGTTTGCTCTATTCACTGTTATTTGCACTAGAAGTTCAAAGTCTATGATGGGAAAACTGTGGGTGTCTTGCTGTGATTCCTGCACTGGAGTTGTGTTCACTGTTGTGTTCACTGCTGCACACTTCTAAAACAAAGAACTAATTTCACCTAATAGTGACCCTAGTAGCGCAATGAAATTCACTGGCTTTCATAAGTCTTGATACTCAAGTAACAGTCTTTTTAATAATTTCACAAAATTAGAAGTATTTCTGTTGTATGCAGATGGAAAGGCAGCTGTAAAAATATGAGTTATGAGTGGAACAGCAATTCCCTTGAATAAACCATCATTTTGTTTTAAAAGAAAATGTTTTTCATTAGTTTCTTATTGAGAATTTCATACCATCCCATCCCCCTCCCTTCCAGTTTCTCCTCCCATCACATTTACCTCTCATATGCTTTTTTTTTTTTTTTTTTTTTTGCTTTAATTCACTGAGTCAACTTAGTTCTGCCTGTATGTACATGGGAACATTTTCTGGTGTGTGTGTGGCTTATCAGGGGCTGCATCCCTGAAGAACATTGACTCTACCTACCCAGCAGCCATCAACTGCCTGCAGGAGCGCCTCAGCTAAGGATGGGTCTTTACAAGTCCTTGTAGTGGTATATTGCTTATGATTGCCTGAAGGTCAGAATGCAAAGCTAGCCACAGCCTTAGAGGCCAGGCAATAGTGGCACACATTTTTAATCCCAGGTTTCAGGACACAGAGGCAGATGGATCTTTGTGAGTTCCAGGGTTATGTGAGAGTGAATCAGTCTAAAAGAGTACAGAGATTTTGCCTTTAATCTCAGTACTTGAGAGGTATATAAGACAGGAGCAGGGTCTCAGAGCTGGCAGTCATCTCCAGGCACATTGAGGACAGGATTGCCTCAGCCTCAGTAGAGGTAAGAACTCTCTGGTGACTTGGCTGCTTTGCTTTTCTGATTTTCAGCTTGAACCCCAATATATGTCTGTGGGTTTATATTATTCATGGTACATATTGGCACCCAATGTGGGTCCCGAACCCATGACCCCCAAGATTAAGAGCCTCACGCTCTACCAACTGAGCTAGCCAGTATTATTTGTGCTACAGTCCCTTCCATCCATACTGGGATTTTGGATGGCTTGATCGTGGGTATACAGACACTTTTTGAATGACATTTAGCTTGCTTTGAAATAAATCATAGTTTAGTTGGTAGGAGATTTTTCTGGTGCATTTTCAAATGGTCTCAACATTTGTACCATGTTACCAATAAAGAACACGAACTATTTGAAATAAAGCAATTTTCTATTGCTTATTTTTAATGTAAAACTGGTTTTGTTTGTTTGTTTTGCCCTTTCTGAGGACAGCTGCTGGCAATGTCTCCTGTGCTCCAGCATGGGGTCCAAGAGACTCTGGCTCTACTGGAGAAATCCAGCTGCTCCCAGCCCCACTTCAGCTCTTCCTGAACTCCTTCCTGGTTCAGTTTTGATTCTGTTCCCCACAATATCCCCTCTTTCTATATTCCTGCCTGAAGATTTTTTTCCTCTAGAAGTCTTGAGATTTTATGTTTTCTGCTTTTTGCCTGAAGGTGTGTGTGTGTGTGTGTGTGTGTGTGTGTGTGAGAGAGAGAGAGAGAGAGAGAGAGAGAGAGAGAGAGAGAGAGTGAGAGAGAGGAATTTCAGAATTTCATGCAGTTCACGCTGGCCTCAGCATCACTGTGTACCTGAAGCTGGCCTTGAACCCCTGACCCTCCTGTTTCCACCTCTTACGTTCTAGGTTTACCAGCATGTGCCACCAGGCATGGTCCTTTTACTGACAGATGTTTACCTTCTTCAGTACCATTTGTTGAAAACTCTTACCTTCTCTGTAGTGCATCAATTTAACATTTTTTTTTTTTTTTTAAGACAGGGTTTCTCTGTGTAGTCCCAACTGTTCTGGAACTTGCTCTGTAGACAAAGTTGGCCTCAGACTCAGAGATCTGCCTGCCTCTTCCTCCAGAGTGCCGGAATTAAAGGTGTGTACCACCTCCATCTCCTGGTTCAGTTTCACCTTTATATCAAAAGTTATTTAGGGGCTGCAAGATACCTCCCTGAATAAAAGTGTTTGCTGCCAAACCTGGCAACTTCTGACCTCTAGCACAGCACAGTGGCTGGCGCGCACGCGCGCACACACACTCAAACACACACTAAACACAATAAAAAACAAAATGCTAAAAATTTATTTGGGACATACTGCATTGGCCTGCATCTGGGTTTTTTACTCTGCCCTGTTGGTCTGTGCCTGGTCCTTGGCCGGTGTCACATATCTTCATTTCTGTGGCAGTAGAAGTCTTACAGTTGGGTTGATTGCTTTCCAAACTCTTTACTCTTTTTCAAGATAGTTTTTGCGATTCTAACCCCTTGCCCTCAGTCTGTGTTTGCAAAGATGGTGACGAGTCTGAAGAGTGTTCCATCTTTTCTGTGCTAACTCTTCTAGCTCACAAACAGCATGCTTCTTCATCCATTCATTTGTTTATTGATTAGTATTGATTAGATTTATTCATTTTATTTTGTGTGTGAGTAGTTTTTGCCTGCATTCGTTCGGGTGCAGTCACCACGTGGTTGCTGGAATTGAACTTGGGTCTTCTGGAAGAGCAGCCAGTGCTCTCCAGCCTTCTTTGACATTTTAATTAGTGGGTTATTTTTACCATATACTATTGTGGATTCTTTGTTAGATCTATACCTGTAGAGAGCCAGCAGTACCATTCCCGAAGATGGGCGCCGGTTTCCTGTCCATGAGCCAGCAAGGCACGGTTGTTTTCCACCCGAAGGATAGCAATGCGCATGCGTAACGTAACACATGTCATGGGGTGTTTGTCACAAGTATCGTGGGCTGCACCAATCAGTAACGGACACGACTCCTCTGAGCATATATAAGCAGAGCCCTTTTTCCTCCTCGGGGTCCTTCCTCATCTCGCGGTAAGAGCCGCACAATAAAGCTACGCTACAGAAGAATCCTGTTGTTGAGCGTCGTTCTTGCAGGCGAGGTGACAGCGCTAGACATATACCTAAATATTTAACTTCTGGAATTAGTTGACAAAAGCAACCAAACTGTATCGGTATGATTTCCTGCATTTTTCTCCTCGGTGCTGGAGAGTGAAGCCAGGGTCTTTGTGGATGCAGCACTTACACCCCTGAGCTACATCCATAGCCCCCTTGGCCACTTTATTTGATTTAAGTTTGAAGCAGGATCTCACTAAGTCGACCTCAGTGGCCTTGAGCTCATTTTGCAGTTCAGGCTGGCCTTGAACTTGGGGGTCTTCCTGCTCCAGCCTCCTGAGTAGCTGGGCTCACAGGCCAGTGCTGTCAGGTCAGGTACTCAGCACTCTTCCCTCCCACAGGATCACACTCTGTGACCTGCTTTCCTCTGCACACTGACAGTACAGCGTTTCATCTTTTTTCCCCTCTGGAAAGCCATGGAGAATAATTTGTTGCAAGGACATGTTCTGGTGGGGAGGTCATCACAGCCAGAGAGGCACTGTGTGTTCATGACTGGTATGCAGAAGTATAGTTTATTTTAGTTTATTTTTTTCAAGACGGGGTTTCTCTCTGTGTTGCTGGCCAGCCTGGTCCCATAGCTACATCAGCCCTGAATAACACACAGAGACGCTGTATTAGATATAAAGCTGTTTGCCTGTTACTAGCATTTCTTATTGGCTAGCTCTGTCTTAAATATTAATCCATTTCTATCAATCTAAGTGTTTCCATGTGGTCTTATCTTACTGGAGAGAGGGTCGGGACCTCTTCTCTCTCAAGTCTCTACATCTTGACTCTCTTTACTATACCTCCCAGAATCCTCCTTGTTTCCTAGTCCCACCTATCTTGTCTTCCTATTGCCAACATTGCTTTATTCATTAACCAATAAGAGAAACATATTTATAGAATGACATCTCCCATCATCTCTGTAGCTTTGGAGCCTGTCCTGGAACCCGATCTGTAGACTAGGCTGGCCTGGAACTCAGAGACCCACCTGCTTCTGCCTCCAGAGTGCTGGGATTAAAGGTGTGTGTCACCACTGCCCAGCTAAGTACAATGTATTTTTTATACTCATCTGCCATCATGTAACCTGATAGATTTACTAAATCCAGTTTATGTGTAAATTCTTTGGGACTTCTATATAGATAAGTAAGTCATCTGAAAATGAAAACGACTCTGTTTCCTTTTGCATTTATGTACTTTTTTTAAAAATTAGGGTTCTCTACAGGAACCCAACTAATAGAATATATTTATAAAGGGGTCTTATTAGGTTTGTTCACATACCAGAGGCCCTACACAGCCATCTGCAAGATGGGGAGAGTGAGGGAAGCCTGTACCTGCTCTGTCTAGGAAACAGTAGCAGCCAGTAATGCTGCCCACTTCAGGCCGAGGGCTGGGAGCTCTCTGGAGAGTCTCTGGCTTGAGCACATGTTCAAAGATGAAAGAAGTTGGACCCTGATGTCCACGAGGATGCCAGCTTCATTTTTATTTTCATCATTGTCCCTGACGGGTGTGCTGATCTCATACTTGGGTTTGGCGAAGTCATGCCCAGTGACATTATACTTAGGTGCTGTGATGTCATACTTAGGTTTCTGCCCCAGAATGTGCTGGGGGAGGGAGACAGCAAGGTGGGAGGGAGGCAGCTGAAGTCTTTCACAGGTGGTTTGAGGGACTAAACATCTCGCCCTTACTAGGTGGGTCAGCTGAGAGAAACTAGAAAGGATAGTGAGGCATGATCAAGAGTAGCACCGAGTAGAACCCAGAGCAGGAAACACCCTTTGCAAACCAAGCTGATCGATAAAGGGAGGAGGTAATCAGGGGAGCCGGGCATTGGGAGCCCTGGGTCACCAGGATTCAGGAGACACAGATGTGTCAGGGATATCTACAGTGAAGGGCACCTGGAGAAACACCTCTGGGCATATCTCTAAGTTTCTAGACTAGGTTAAGTGCGTTTGGAAGACCCATCCTAAATTTGGGCAGTGCCTTCTATAGCCTGAGGGCCCAGAACACACAAGAGACTAGCCAAGAACAAATACTCATCTCTCTTTGCTCCTGGGTGTGGATGTAGTGTGAGCTGCTCCGTCAGGGTCCTGCTGTCACGATTTTAACACCAGGAAGGACTGCACCCTCCATCTCTAAGACAAATCAATCCTCCTTTCCTTAAGTTTTGTTGGTGGGTTGGCTTTTGTCAAGTGTTTTGCCACAGCAACAAGAAAATTAACTAGTACAGTCAGATGTGGAGGTGGACAGTCCTTACTAGAGGACTAAAGATGGTGACGATGATCTTAGCTCCTGATCCACAGCATTCAAATGCCCACCTGTCAATCA